TACTGTGTATATTCTTAAAGTGGCTGTAAAGGAGGTGGCCAGAATAAATTAATAACACAACTCCTGTAAGATAAATACTTAGAGGAGTGGGTACATAATCACAAAATATCAACTTGTGGATAACTAACTACAAGTCTGGAGCAAGTACGCAAAGGATAGGAAATAGTATAAAACAAATGTGTGCAGCAACTGAAATGAACATATAACATAATTGTTTTTAAAAAATATGACATACCCCAAAACAAAACCTGTTATACTGAGTGAAGTAATGAGGTAAGCATACTTGATACCCTTAAGCAAAGGAGACTATTACATAAATGACCAAATAAACATAATAATTGAACTATGAGAAACTGAAAGTGTAAATGTTCCTGTAGATGAGTGGAAAATGTTAGTTTGTTATGAACATGGACATGGTACCCATAACCCTAATATCACGAATTAAAGCAAACTGCACCCTTGTAGTATTACAAAGTACTGTCTACTGATCAGGTGACATATAAATGGTGGAATCGCAGCCTGTTTGTGGGTTTTCCCTCTCTTTTATATGTGTTCCCCCGTGTGTTCGCTTATTGTGCCGAACGCCACCAGTAGGAGCATTCGTGGATTGTTTCCCGCCTCGTTAATTTCACGAAACCAGGACCCCCTGGTGCCCCATTAGAACTTTCACACCAATTACTCAGATTGTTCGCACTCGCAACATAGGTGTGAAACAGAGACTAGTTGATCGAGGGACCGAGGTGAGGGTCCCTGAAATTGGTCTGGGCACTTTTGGGGCACTGGTGAGTTTGGCGGGCTCTCATGAGCCTGAGGGACAAAGAGACCAGCTCTTTTCCTGTGGGTAGGCTTTTCTTTTTACAGAGGCTCTTAATGCCCTAACTGGTTCCTGGCCAGCTGAAGGAAGGAAATTAGCGGAGGTAATGTGGTCTGGTTAACCGGGTATCCGCTACAGTATAACCATTTAACATACAACTAGATACTAATAATAAAAATAAAAATAACCACACTATATATATCATGCTGGCCAATATTCTGTCAAACTCTGGAGTTTTAGATAAAGTAGGTATATTCAATGTATACTCAGGGCCGGATTAACATAGGGGCTGATGGAGCTGCAGCTCCAGGCCCAGGCCCATGGAATAGGCCCATTGATTTTAAAAAAAAAAAAAAATTTTTTTTTTACTTTTTTTTTTCACACTACTCTTAGGGATTCCATCTGGCTTTTATTTTATTGGCACAGGCAGTATTTGAGGCTGCCTGGCTGGTGCCAATATTGCAGTTATACTGGCAATCAGAATGCTGGTATTTTTCTCAGTATAAACAAGAGATTACTCTGCAATACCAGCACTGGCCAGTAGGGGTCGCTGTGTGTGTGAAGACAGGCAGGGATAGGAAGTTCCAGCATATCCCTCCCTGCCTATCTATACTCACTGATCTGCAGGGGTGCAGCTACAGAGGGTCCAGACAGCAACTCCCACCCTGCAGAGACAGCCTACAGCTCAGGGAAGTAAGGGATGGGGGGAAAGGCTGCAAGGAGACATACACTGAGACACTAAGGGACATTGGGAGACATTATGGCAGACACTGAGACACTAAGGGACACTGGGAGACATTATGGCAGACACCGAGACACTAAGGGACACTGGGAGACATTATGGCAGACACCGAGACACTAAGGGGCACTGGGAGACATTATGGCAGACACTGAGACACTAAGGGACACTGGGAGACATTATGGCAGACACTAAGGGACACTGGGAGACATGGGTCACTGAGACACTGATACATAGGAACACAGACCTGGAGTAATCGACACATGGGGGCACTGAGTCATGAGGGCACTGGGAGACATGGGGGCACTGGGAGGAATCCATCTATACAGCAGAATCAAACTAAGTAGTTTTTGGTGATTTTACAGCATTTTCTCTTATGTCACTCCTTGTGATTTACATCATGTGATGTCATCCATACATATTTAATTATGCAAATTAGTAAGGCCGGTATGTTTTTCCAAGAAAGGTGGCAACTCTAACTACTTTTCACATACTCTTACTTAAGTATGGAAACCTAAGAGGGATGTATGGGAACAAAACTTGTGTGGACTGGCTGACAATGAATATAGTTAAAGGGACACTGTAGTCACCAGAACAACTACAGCTTATTGAATTTGTTCTGGTGAGTAGAATCATTACCGTCAGGCTTTTTGCTGTAAACACTGTCTTTTCAGAGAAAATGCAGTGTTTACATTACAGCTTAGTGATAACTTTACTGGCCACTCCTTAGATGGCTGTTAGAGATCCTTCCTGGGTCATGGCTGCCTAAAATGCATCCAAACATTCACTGTCTCCTCCCTCTGCATGCAGACACTGAACGTTCCTCATGGAGATTCATTGATTCAATGCATCTCTATGAGGAGATGCTGATTGGCCAGGGCTATGTTTGAATCATACTGGCTCTGACCCTGATCTGCCTCTTTGTCAGTCTCAGCCAATCCTATGGGGAAGCACTGTGATTGGATCAGGCCACCACTTCTAATGATGTCAGCAGACTGCTTGTTTTTATGAGTCTAACAGCATGCCGAGTTACAGCTTCAGGCTTGAATATAGATTTTGCTATATTTATGGAGGCATGAGGGGTCCGGGGGGGCTAGATGGTGGTGTTAATACTATAGGGTCATGAATTCATGTTTGTGTTCCTGACCCTATAGTGATCCTTTAAGGTAATGCTGACTTTGGTCTCTAACACTGTGGCATGTTCCCTTTCTTCTACACTCACTACATACAGCTTTACTCTGTCCCAGACCATATACCAGGATCTTCTGCCTGCTAGTAAGAAGGTAAGGAGACAAGTGGACCAGCGAGTGCTAGGGGACAGTCCTTAGAAAGGGTTGAGCGAGCGCATCATTAGATGCATTTATGCCAAGCTCAGGGTGTTGTCTGCATAGTATGCCCTTAGTTGGGCAGCTGCATGATTGGCAGGCAGCCTGACATGCATTCATGTCAGGCTGGCCTTCTAATTCTTTGAGCAGAAATGTCCTCTTTTTGGGCATGTTTGCCCGTTTTGGCAGGTTACGTGATTTGTGTCAGTGGCACACCCTTTTACCGTGCCCATTGACTTCTTGCTTGACTGGACACTGCTGTTAGGGGTTATGGATTTACTTGAAAGCTGGAAACATAAATTAGAGAGAGATTAGCCTAGGGTATGTGTTTTCTTATAGCTGCTGTTTTCTTTCTCTCCAGCACCATCTCCATCAGATACATGACGCTTGGGAGTGTTTTACTGTTTTTGGTCGATATGATTCTGTAATTAGGCCCGTCATAATTGTCAGCACCAGGCCCACTGGGCTCTTAATCTGGCCCTGTGTATACTGTATTGTTAGTTTGGGGTTCAAGTATCAGGTAGCTAAGAACAATACATATCAGGGCCTGATCCCTATATCAAAATAAACTTATTTTTGTATACATGTACTGTGCAGGAAGCCTCAATGAACCACCAAGGACCACAGTTACAAATCGCTCTATTGATAAATACTGCATTGAAGCAACTGATAAAATGTGTTATATGCATGAGAGTATAAAGTTTCCTTAAACACATACAGTAGAAGTTTACCTTCAGTCCTGGAACTAACTGATGGCATAGCAAAATTATATATAACTGTCTACTGACAAGTAGCATGGTCAAACGAGGCTTAAAATAAAGCAGTAAACGCTTGGCCGAACATAACGGATTGCACTGACCAAAAACTGAAAATGTAGTGCGGCCAAACGTAAGCTGAATGTAGTGAACCAAAGTAAAAATGCAACACGACAGAATGTAGGCCAAATGCACTGGACCAAATTGAACGTGCTGAATGTACTGAACCAAAAGTGACTGCAACTGAACGTAGGCCAAATGTACTGAATCAAGTGGAAATGTAGCAAGGTCGAACGTAGGCTGAATGTACTAAATTAAGTGCACATGTAGCATGGCTGAATTAAGTGCAAATGTAGCGTGGCCATACTTAGGCAGAATATATGTAGCCAAATATACATACCATAGTGAATATGTAGTGCGTCCAAGCCTAGAACGAATGTAGTGAAACCATTGCAAATAAGTAGCATGGCTGACCGTAGACCAAATATACTGAAAGCGCTGTGAATAAGTAGTGTGCCTGAACTTTGAATGTAAAGGGAATTTTTTAATTTAATACCAGAGCAGTTGGACTGAAAGGATAGCTGACAAAGAGATTTATTTTTTTTGGCTGTTTCCACCTTAAATTTTAAATTCACTTTAAATTCACCTTGAGCTCTCACTTGAAGGTTGTTCAAGTGAGAGCTCAAGGTGGGCTCAGTGGTTTCATTACATTCGTTCTAGGCTTGGACGCACTACATATTCACTCAATGGTTTCACTACATTCGTTCTAGGCTTGGACGCACTACATATTCACTATGGTATGTACATTTGGCTACATATATTCTGCCTAAGTATGGCTACATATATTCATGTATGTACATTTGGCTACATATATTCTGCCTGAAAGTTGCTTATTTGCCTCTTTACTAAAACACCTTAGTCTATCAGATTCATACATCTCTATTCTGCTACTGATTCAAACAAAATTGTTACAAAATGAAAGAAAAAAAAATTGGGACTTAAAAAAAAGGGAGATTGATCCATGGATCATCATGTTGGTACCCCACATATTAACATATTTCAAATGCATATTTTATCAAAAATCATCCAGGCAATGTTTAAAAATATTTGAAGAATATGATAACACAATCTCAAAGAATTACATATATTTATTGTTCTTATGGTAAAGAACCCTTTCCTCTGCCATAGGCAACATCTCCTTTTTTCAAGTCTATATGGGTAACCATTTGTGCTACATACAGTCCTGTTAATGAACAGAATACTAGAAAATTGTTTGTATTGGCCCTTTGTTTGATTCATAAATATGGGCTGTCAGTGGAAGTCGAGCTCAGAACAGTCAAGTTAAAGGCGATGTGTGTGTAATGAAGGGGACCGGAGATGTGCAAGGCACTTCCACCAAGAGGGTGATGGACCAGTTACAGTTAAGGGGACTATTACAAGATTGACTGATGGAAAACATGGCTTTCATATACATGCTTATGGCAATAACACCAATGGCTGTATTAGTGCTGGCCCACACTTCAACCCAGGAAATATAACTTATAGGGGCCCTGAAGATGAAGTGAGGCACGTTGGTGATCTTGGCAATATCAGTGTTGCGAATGGTGAGGCAAAATTTGAGTTTACGGATAGTGTGATTTTTCTTCGTGGCGAGCACAACATTATTGTACGTACTGTTGTGGTCCATGAGAAGGAAGATGACCTGGGAAAAGGTGGGAATGATGAGAGCCTGGTGACTGGCAACACCGGTAGCAGCTTGGCATGTGGTGTAATCAGCAGTGCTCAGTAACATGGCTGTATGTAAAAGAAATTCTATATTTCCTGTTCAATTTACTATCCATCTGTAAGACTGCTGCAAAAACATTGTGCCCACTTGTATGAAGTACAATACCTTACTGGCCTTTGTAATCGCTAAATATTATTGCTCATTGTTGCAAAATCTGTTGTCTGTTACTAATCCCAAGTTAACTCGTTTATTGTTTTTCTAACTCTGTGCCAGGAAGGATAGTAGGCAGTTTTTCTACCTGCACGTCGTCTTGATTCCTCTGCTTGTATTTACAATCTTGCCTTTTCTGTATACTATGATACTCATATTGTGTGACTTGCGTGTTACCACTTGACTCTTTCAGCTGTGAGTGTAAATCCATATTCCTGTTTTGACTTGCAATTCTATACATATACATAGCCGCATAACAAAAATGTAAATTTAAGTCAGCTTGCAATTGTTGCTTTTATTCATTTGAGTTAATGTATTCCTGAACTGTCTGCTGTTTATGTCTTAATCAACAGATTCCATTCGTCCCAGACTGGATAGTGAATATTATTGCATATACTTCTTGCCTCTAAATCTTTAGCATTTATATTAATTACAGAGCCTAGACAAATACCCATTTACAGTGGGATTGTTACCTAACTGTGACAAAAGGTTGTCTCACAAACCAGACCATATTAAACCATTCTAGGTACTTATATTTGCACCAACATTGTTTGCCCTGACAACTATCTGACAAATGATGTTCTCAAGTTCACATCTTAAAGTAAAATTAATATCACATTGAGCTAATCACAATGATCCATTCTAAACCAATTCCATCATCACAAACAAAAATTCATTCTTTATTTTTGATGTACCTATTTATTCGTGGGCTGAAGATAAGAATGTCAGGTGATGAACTGATGACAGGAGACTCAAAAAAAAAAAAAAACTCAAGTGTTACTGATTATTTTTTTTTTTTTACAGGGATTTTATCCCCTTAAGGATCGGCCTGTTTTTGCGATGTTGTGCGTTGACACTTTGTTTTGCGATGTTGTACTTTGACAGTTTTGACACTTTTGTGGTGTTTGTGTTTAGCTGTAATGTTCCTCTCTCTCATTTACGGTTCCCATACTAGTTATATATTGTTTTTTTTCAGGACAAGAAGGGCTTTCTTTACATACCATTATTTGTATCATGTCATATATTTTATTAAAAAAAAAAAAATATATGGTGAAAAATTGAAAAAAAACATGTTTTTGGACTTTTACTTGAAAAATCTTTTACTTATCTAAAAAAGCTAATGAAAAAAACTGCTAAATAGATTAAAAATTTTGTCCCTAGTTCAAAAACACCGGTGTTTACATGCTTTATTGCTTTTTTTGCAAGTTATAGGCCTATAAATACAAGTAGGAAATTGCTGTTTCAATATATATATATTTAAAATTTATCAATAGTGACATTGTAACACCGTTATCTGTCATAAATCCCCGAATCACACCTCACATGTACATATTTTTTTAAAGTAGACAACGCAGGGTATTCAAAATGGGGTATGTCCAGTCTTTTTTAGTAGCCACCTAGTCACAAACACTGGACAAATTTAGCATTTATATTTGTTTGTGTGTTAAAAATGCAAAAAACTCTAACTTTGGCCAGTGTTTGTGACTAAGTGGCTACTAAAAAAGGCTGAACATACCCCATTTGTAATATCTTGGGTTGTCTTCTTTTGCAAATGGTATGCCATCATGGGACTAATTCTCATTCCTGGGCTACCATATGCTCTCAAAGGCAAT